GCTCCAAAACCACTTGTGGTTTTGAAAGCAAGGGGCCTTGACCTGAACCTCGTGACCCAACGGACATCGCTCCCCAGCTTTGACTGTTTGATTACTGTATGTTGTCATAGATTAGTGTTATATAGGAAATCATTTGCTTGAGTTGTCAATATTTTATAGGTTAAAGCCGAATAAATATTGCATATTAATCATAAACTACGTCCTCATTGGTGTCCAGGCCACCGACCTAGCCACAACTGGGCATTTTCAACCTAGTGTGACAGATGTATCAATTACTTTTCTACTAATGTGAAATTGGGTCAGTCTCAGCCCTGATGCTTTGTCAGCCCTGTCCCGAGCTGGTCTACAAGTTTTGTAAGTTGTAAAAATTCACAATTTTTACTGCATAGGTAAAGACCTGCAACAGTGATCTCAACCATTATTTCAAGGCATCAAGGGGTGCCTTGAGATCCTTTCCAGGGTGCCACATAAAGTTAGTACTGTTAGCTATGTAAACATAATTCATAAGATAAATTAAGAGATTTCAAACACGAATCCAGTGTTAAAATATGCTGACCTATTGTGGTCTTTTGAGTTCTTTGTAACATTAATTTATTTGTTATATTTCTGTAGTCAAAAAGTGAGCGAAAACTTAGAGCTGCCATTTTTCAAGGGGTGCCTTGAGTCAGTCAAGGGGTACTTTGAGTCTAGCAAGGTCAAGAAACACTGATTTATAAAATGGAATCTTCCCTGACAGATCAGAGATGCCCAAAACAATGCAAGACAAAAAAAATCCATTTGCCAAGATGGACAAACTTTCCACTAAAAAGATCAGCTTTCATTGTGTTGCGCTGCATAAAGTCTCGCACTGCAGATGAAAAAGGAGTACACCAGAGATGATAGCCTCCAAATGCAGAATAAGCAATGAAAAAAAAGTTCTAAAAAACAATGAAAAGCATTCAGCACTAAAAAGTGATTTTTTTTTTTGCCAAAAATAAGACTGCCAATTTAAGCAAATATTATACTCAGCTTGCATGACTCAACACTATTTGGAACAAGCACATTTGTGTTTAGATATTTTAAATAAAAGCAAACTTGGTATGAAGTAAAATATGATTAGCTTGACAAAGAGAGATGAGGTTTCACCTGAGCATGGCATAACCTGGAAGAATATCTTGAAGTGTTCATTCTGTCTTGAAACAGACAACCACAGGGATTTGGAAAAGTTACAAACTCTTAAGTTACAAAAAAATGAAAATTTTGCATGTGAGAGTAGGCATTCTACATGTTAGACACAATACAATAGGAGAAAGAGACCAACGGGAGAGGCTAAGAAAATGAGGAAATACAAAGCAAACAAATCAGAAGTCTCAGCTTGCTACTTGTCTAGCAAACCTCAGCTCGTACCTATTCAAATATCACAACCAATGTAGGTTTTACAGAGGAACTGAAAAACAGCAAACAAATCTGCCTTGTTTTTTGCAATATGAAAGACCTATATGGTCTCTTTTTATGCTAGGCAAGGCTAGCATTATTGCTTGGCATCAATTATAAAGTATTTAACAAATGTAAGATGCCTCTTGAAATGTCACTGTGTGTAAAATGAAATAGCTTTGTGGTTTACTTACAAAATATGTAGGCAAAATAAATGTTTGAGAAAGAAACAACTTTAATTGTGTTCTACAGGATGGTGCAATTTCTGATAATGAAAAACAGTTTTTAGCTAATGGAAATTTGGACTATTTTACTTACATGTACAAATGTATTTTACTCAAACTGACTGCACATTGTATAACTAGGAAGGTTCCTGTGTATATGTAGTCTGTTTTGGTGAAGGACTGTCCAGTTATCAAGCTTTGACTATATGTATAAATCTTTACCAAAATGAAGGAAAATGTATGAAATGTCAGATGGATATCTGAAGACTGGTAAGAATTAAAATACCTAAAATAAAAGGAAGTATCAATTTCAAGTAGCTTTGTAAATATCAGGACAAAAACATACTTAAAAAAAAAAACTTTCTATAGTTTACTTATGTAAAGTATTACTTATGTAACCTATAGACAGTATATATATGTAGAACATAAATGCTACGCAAACAAATTTTACATTGGAGTCATCTTTTGTTCTATTAGTTTTTTCATGGAAATTAAATGAAAAACCACCACAGCATAGCCCAGACAATTTTACAATGAAGGATGGAAATTTACCAGAGAAAGTTAATTCTCATGAAATAATATAAACTTATGTGCAACCTGAAATGTATTATCTGAAAGAAAACAAACATCTAAAACTGTAGTCAGGCCAGTATTACATTACTTTTATTCAGCCAAGGAGAGAGAGGAAGACTGAATTACAGTGAACTCACTTATTAGAGTTTACTAGTACCCATCCTAAGAATATACACTTTAAAACAAATATACTCCTTTTTGCACATAGATGTGGAAGTTCTTAAACTTTAAAAATCTCTCTCTTTTACAAAATAAAAATACCCTCCCCACCAAAGTTTCAAACTGTAACGTTCATAAAGAAATTATAAAACTAATAAAGGGCTCTGTCAAGTGATCTATAGGCAATACAATGTTATACTAAGTATGACAGTACTGGGTGGTCTCTTTCTCTATGGGAGTAATGGAGTGACAATCAAATAAGCTCGAGAGAGACATGGCTCTTGTTGGGAAGGTAGGTAGAGTAAGTGGGATGAAATATGACTATCTTAGGTCTCATACTTTTGGAGGTTGCGAAGGAACTTTTTACTTGATACTGGAATACCACATTGGCAGATCATGTTTTGGAGTTGTAGATAAACTTACCCTTTAACTACTTAACATGCAGCTCTACTCAAGAAACTGATTTAGGGAAAATAACGTAACCTGTTTCACTGATTTCTGCATCAGTTTTCCCAGTTTAAAAGCAACATATGTTTTCTGTCTCAGTGCTAGTCAGTCTGGAGTCTGAAAGCTGAGCTGCATTCTTTCTGGCTTACGTATTCCACAATTCAAGATTCTACAGGTCAAATTCTTTCAGCTTCTAGTGCTCTACTACCTTCAAATTATGCCCTCAGTTATAGTAGCTGCCATCACTGGGGTTGGAAAATTGAAACTGATGCTGTAGTTTGAAGATAAAGAGGTTAAACAAGTAGTTCATAAACTGGAACTGAATACTTGGGTTGCTGCATGAACCAGAAAAAAAATTCCAGTGCACTTTCCCAGATCGGGGTTCTTACTGGGGGTTAAGAGTAGTAAAATATTTTCATCACTGGAGCAAGCATGTGTGACTGAGTAATATCTAGATACAAAGGGAGAAGATCTGCTGAGAAAGATGCAGCTTTTAAATATTTCCTTTTCAGAACAGAACTATACTTCAGACGAGAGCAGAGAACAAACACCTGGCCAGATGCTTGTTTTCTTCCATTCATCCTCAATGTCCTCCTGTGTCTCATAATTTAAAACATGAGGATAATTTGGTTACTTTACTGGACTATTAATTTACTCTTCCAATGGGAGATTTTGGGAGATGCTCAGATCTTCATGGAGTGGGGTTATGGAGGGAGGAGTGCTTGGCAAAGATATTTTATTCTTTAAAAAATTTAAGTGAGGACTGTCATACAGTCACCTATTTTTTTTAAATCAGAACTTATTTGGTAACTGTAATAATGATGCAAGAGTATAAAATTGAAACTTGATACTTTATTACTATATTTAAGAAGCTGGGCCCAAGAATGAGGTACAGCGTGCAATTTCTACGGAATTGGAAAGACATGCATTTAATTGCAAGCCAATTAAATCTAGCTTATTAGAAATCAATTATATTATAAGAATTAAGGCTGTCAATTAATCCCAGTTAGCATGTGTGATTAACATGTTAATCGGCATTCACGTTAATTTTTTTAACACGTTAATTGCACACATGGTTTTGGAGCCCGTGCCTGGGCTCTGCTCCAATGCCATCACCAGGCTGCCCAGAGCGGCAGTAGTGGCAGTGCAGAGGACTGCAGGGCAGCATGGGTGTGGGCTCTGGGCTGCTGCACCGGGGGGTGTTGGGGGTCAGGTAAAAAGACAGACAGATGAGCAGCTGCAGCCACAGCCTGCTCATGGCCAGGAATGCAGCCTGGTGGTGTGTAGAGCACCACCCAGCAGGTAAGTCTGTGAGGGAGAAGGGACATGGCGGAGGGAAGGGGCAAGGGGCAAGATTGAGGCCCCCATGGTGAAGGAGGGAGTGGGGCAGGAGCAGCTCGTCCAAGGGCATAGGAGGTGCAGCTTGCACTGCTGCATGTGACCCTGGGGGAGGCACAGGGGGCATGTACCCCCCAGATGTGTGCGGGGTGGAGGTGGGCTGTGGGCTAGGGCTCTTCATGCCCTGCTGCCTTTGCCATGTGTTCCCTGCCTGCCTGGTGGCAGGAGGCACAACATGGCATTGTGCGGCTCCCAGGGTAATGGCAGCAGGGTGCAGAGCCCCAAGCTTGCAGCCCGCCTCTACCCTATGCATAAATCTGGGGGCACATGCAGAAGCTGTACCCCACCTACACTTGGCCAAGCCACCCATACCTCTGTTCCATGACCTGCCTTGGCCCCGGAGCCCCATTTACTCTAGCTCCTACCCTACTCCCTCACCATGGGACCCTTGATCTGCCCCCTTTCCTTCCCTTCTTCTCCATAGTATTACCTACTGGGTGGGGTGTATGCGTGTCTACCCCTCACTCCCAAGTCACAGCCCCCCCAGGCCTGCTGCTGCCCCTCACTCCTGATCTATAGTACCCTGCACCCTGACAGGTCATATGAGAACCCCCCCTTCTAAGCTCCAAATCCCATATACACACCCACAGCACTCCACACCTTCACAAATTTCCACAAATACACCACATCCACCCCAATTCTTGTTTTTACATTTGATCTATGACAATATATGGAATTTACTGAAGATAGTGTTGTCATAGATCAAATGTAAAAACAAGAAGAATCAAGACAGGAAAAATCAGATCTACTTTTATTACCTAAAAATGGCTTAACTGTTTAGGCTGAAGTAGAATATAAAGTTTTCAGTACTTATTCCATATATCAAGTATAATGGACAGAAAAATCTCCTGAGGACATGACACTTATTTTGATCAGTAGAGTCCACAGGCATTAGAGTAAATAAAAGGTAGATCACAAGCCGTGCTTTAGAGGTACAATTAAAATGAATTACACAACTAAAATCCAAAAAATACCCTAAGCCGTAAGAAAACTGACCACTATATTTTACCTTGCATATTTGTTTACAATTTCTTCTTTCTTTAGTCCAAACACCATAATAAAACCTCCGATGGCTACCCTTCATATTCTAATATAACATTGTTTTTGATGAGTTGCACATATTGCAGTGATGGGTGCTGTAGAAAACTGCAAGACAGAGGGAAGGCTAATTGAATATGAAGTCACATTTTTCAAACCAAAAGGAGAGAACCCCTCAGTCTCTGCTTCCATATCACTTATTTTTTAAGTTGTTAATAGATGTTATTATGGACTTTCACACTTCTGAAGAGTTGAACTGGTCTTCCTAACTTTTAGTATTGCCCTTTTCTTGCTTAGCTTTGAAACAAAACCAAATCAGCCAACCAAAAAAACCCCCAACCTAACATAATTTATGTTTGCATGCATGTTCAGACACACACACACTCTATATATATGAATTTCAACTTACCGTTGCTGTCTAAAAAGCAGATTTTAAAAGATCTTCACTGTAAACAATATGCTCTCCAACTCTTATACATCCAATAATCAACATTCTCAATGAGAATCTGAGAAGACAAATAGGATAACAGGTCAGGTTGAGTTTAATATAATTAACCATTGGCTTTTTCTTCTTTCATTTATTTATTTTAGATACAAACTAAGCATTGTTTATGTATGATGAATTTTTCACATTTTTCAATTAAAACAGTAAGTCTGAAGAACTCCAACCACATAACTGAAGAGCATTTGTCTATACGAGATGGAGAAAACTAGGTTAATTCAGCATAGTGGTTCTGGTTTTTAATGCACCAAATTCAGGAAATCCATTGTTAGAGTGCCCAATCCAATACTATCACTAACTACTATGTTAAAGAATATATTAAGAAACATTAAATAAACAGACAGCAGGTTAAAGAATTAAACTCTTTTCTAAACAACTCTGGAAAACAAAAATGTTTAGTGAGAACTTTGAAAAGAGACATCTTGAAACCGCAACTTCAAATTTTAACAAAAAACTGGTTCACAAGCAAAAATGCTGCTTAACATTTATTTTTTTCAACAAGGGTAAGACATGAAAGAATAATCTATAAACATCCATAGTCACAACATGTCAAAAATCAAGTAAAAAATTCAAAGCATGTTGGGACATAATTTTGATTTACTTAGAATTTAAAGTTATATGACAATGTCCTATGGAATATAGAAATTGTTAACCTTGAATTAAACATAAAAGAGAAACTGGCTGACCACAGTAACCACCAGGGATCTTGGTTTTCTCTGCTTAAAATCCTAAATTCTCTGATAAAGAATCCTACATTCTGATTAAAAACTCCCCAACATCCATTTTTACATTATTAAAATGAAACGTCACTACACACACACACACACACACACACACACACAGAGAGAGGTATCAGTTGAACACAATGTTTTACTGATATATTTATAATTTTAAAGCAATTTGGAAGTCTATCACTGCCTCAATCATTATTATAAAATAAATGTTAAATACCTCGGGAGCCAGGAGCAGCGGGGAAAGGAGGGATCCACGCACGTGTGTGTCCCGCACACACGTGTGCCCCCTTACTAGACCCGAGGCAGAGGAGGACGCAGCAGCAGCGGAGCCAGCAGCAGCTGATCCCCTTAAGGTAAGTGGGCAGGGGGACTGGACGCAGCTGAGCCAGATCCGGAGGGGAAGCCCCCCGGATCCCTCTTAGCTGAGCCGGTAGCGAGCCGTGCATCCGAGCCAAGCCACGCAAACAGAGCGTGCCGTGTTTGCGTCGGCGTTTGTGCCAGTGGGCGAACAGGAAGGGCCAGGAGGGAGAGTCCTACTAGGGCAGGGCAAAGGCACTGCACTAAGCTAAAAACATGCAGCAACTCCTATGATGGTGTTGACGTGGAGTGCTGCCAGGGCCCCTGCCTGGGGGGGAGCAGCCTACCCGGGGCTTGTCTGAGGCCTCTACCCAGACAGAGCCCATGGGGGAGCTGGCATCCCCCCACCCCCTGGCCTGAGCGGGTTGCCCAGGTAAGGCCCGGGGGGGCAGGGATTGGGGACCCCCACACCTGTCCTGCAGGCGCCCACCTTAGGGCCCCAGAGATGCAGGTGAGGGAGCTCCAGGAGGAGCTTAGCAGGCTGAGGGGAATCAGGGAGGCGGAGGAACAAATTGACGGCTATTTCCTTTCCCTGCAGGGCCACACACCCAAGGAAGCAGCACCTCGGGAAGTGCCCTCCACTGCAGAGTGGCAGACAGTCACCTCCAGAACCAGGGCTGCTTGTAACACAGCAGTACCAGTTCCTCCAGTCTGGCTGGAGAACAGATACGAGGCCCTGGCAACACTGGAGAAGGGGGGAGGGGAGGCAATGGCAGAGGAGGCAACTCCACACTCTCTACACTCTAAACAGGCCAAAGGAACTAAGCAGTCCCGGAGGAGAAAGCGTCAAGTGATCGTCATAGGTGACTCCATCCAGAGAGGTACAGAGGGCCCAATCTGTCACCAGGACCCCTTGACATGCGAGGTCTACTGCCTACCCAGAGCAAAGATTCATGATGTGATGGGGATGATCCAGGCCGTGATCCAGCCCACCGATTACTACCCCATGGTCCTAATCCATGTGGGTACTAATGATGTAGCCAGGAGAAGCCCTGATCACTTGATGGTGGACTACCACGCTCTGGGGGGCGTGCTGAAGGAGATAGGTGCACAGGTGGTACTCTCTTCTGTTCTACCAGTGAGGGGACATGGAAGACGTGCATTGCGGACACCAACTGGCAGCTTTGGGAATGTGTCTTGAGGCGGGCTTTGGCTTCCTTGACAACGACCAGCACATCATGACAAGAGACATGCTTGGGTGGGATGGTAAGCGTGTGTTCTCTTCTAGGTTGGCGGTTCTCCTCCAGCGGGCTTTAAACTAGGCTCGTCGGGGAAGGGGAAGACGAGGGAGGAAGAAGCCTTGGATTGCTAAACCAAGTAGCACTCAGAAGTACAGCCCAGCCTAGACTGACGAGCAGAACATATACACAGGTAAGCAACAGGGGCCAGGCCAATGCTGTGATTAGGGGACCAGTGCACACATCCACAGGAGGCCTCAAATGCCTCTACACAAACGCTAGTAGTATGGGAAACAAGTAGGAGGAACTTATCCTCCTGCTAGCTGACACCAACCCAGACATAGTGGTGCTCACTGAAACGTGGTGGGACCCAATGCATGACTGGGCGGTGAATACCAAGGGCTATAGGCTGTACAGGAGGGACAGGACAGGGAGGAAAGGCGAGGGTGCGGTACTCTACATTAAGGAGGAATACACATCCTCACCAAGTAGACCAGAGTCAGAGGAGGGGCACACGGAAGTGCTCTGGGTTAGAATACAAGGCAGTCAAGGGGAAAGAGAATTAACGGTGGGGGTCTACTACAAACCACCCAACCAAGGGGAAGAGCTAGACCAGGAATTCTTAAGTCAGGTCATGGAGGTAGTTAGGTCAAAGGACGTGGTCATCATGGGTGACCTGAACTTTCCAGAAATCTGCTGGGAAGAACAGTCAGCCAGCTCTGACAGCTCACGTACGTTTCTAGCCCAAATGCAGGACCTCCATCTAACCCAGGAGGTGCACAGCCCCACCAGGGGAGATGCCTTGTTGGACCTGGTGCTGGCCACGGGTGACGACCTGGAGAGGGGGCTGCGGGTGCTTGACCTCCTGGGCGACAGTGATCATTGCCTGCTGGAATTCACCATCCAGTGTAAGGAGGGCACAAAAGCCCCCATGGCTCACCAAAAGCAACCGGGAATGTCTTCTAGGTAAAAGGGAGGCATACACCCAATGGAAGGGAGGGGCCATCACCAGGGAGCATTATATTGCAGTAGCTTGGGAATGCAGGGGGGCAGTCAGGAAGGCCAAGGCGGAGATGGAACTGGGACT